GGAATGACACTCCCCAAAAATAAACCCACCCCACCCTGCGTGACATGAGCAAGTCCCCCCTCGCTCCTTTCCCTCCCTTCCTACAAGCGCATGTGTCGACACTCAGGGGGCCTCTGCTGCTACTTGACGTGTAAACCGTTTTAAGCAACAGCTTAATCATCAATCTGAGAGACGTAAATACGGTTGAGGCTGTTGAGTCAGGGAAAAACAGGTAGACGCCAAGTGGCAGATGGAACAGTGCAGCCACACATAATTGCTGCTGTAGGAACAGCTGCCAGACTTCTCGCAGAAAGTTGCCTTCAAGCAGAAATGCTTCCTGATTGCCTCTGAATTGTTTTGCTCTTTCCTTAACAACAATGAATTTGACATTTTCTGTGTGCTTCACCCCGCAGGTGAAGGTGTGGTTCCAGAACAGGAGGATGAAGTGGAAAAGGGTGAAGGGCGGCCAGCAGGGGGCGGCAGCTCGAGAGAAAGAACTGGTGAATGTGAAAAAGGGGACGTTGCTGCCGTCAGAGTTCTCTGGCATCGCGGCGCTGCACCACTCGACGGACTCCTTAGCCAATGAGGACAGTCACGACAGCGACCAGAGCTCCGAGCATGCTCACTTATGATGCACACACACCCTTCTCTCCCCTCCCCCCCTCAGAGGACAGGCCCTGCTCTGCCCCAGGACCGTCCTTAGAAGGACTGCTGTTTGCTGATTCGACATCGTCATACAACGATGTTAAACAAGTGTACAAATATACAGAGGAATGATGTGTGGTAGATAATGCAGCCATCATGCAGGCAAAATGTAAATTTCAAGAACTGAGCACATACAGGAGGATCCTGACATATTTCAAAGCGCCATTGGTTAAAAATGTCCTTGATAAATGCCAAAACAAGCAATAATATAAATATTGAAATGTGATGTTTTGGCTACACAGTTTCACTGAATATTGCAAAAAAATTTTGGAAATCAAACTCCATCAAACTGTTGTAAACATTCCATGTTGTGTGCCTTGAGAGAAGCAGGCTTTGATTTGCACTGTCGAACACACAGTCTGCGTCTCAGTCAGTTTCTACTGTATAAAATGTAAATTACGATGTAATTGAGTTATTGATCAAATCAAGTGCCAGGAAATCAAATTTGCCTAGCTAATATAAATGACCTGTAAATAATTCTCTGTATTGTCTTACCTTAACAATAATTTTATACCCACTACACTATTCAGCTCACGCAGTAATAAACACTGACAGTTCTTTAGTCGACACTTTTCTGCCTGGAGATGACGTTTTGTAAACAAATCTGAAACCTGAAATCAGTATTTTATTAAATCCTTTCAGGGACAGTTGCAGATCAAATAAACTTTAACCAGTGGTAAATGGAATTCAGTATGATTCAATATGTTTTTTTTTTCCATCTGTGCAGCCATCCATCCGTGTGTGTGAAGCTGAAATGAATTAAACATTGCAGAGAGTGAAGAAAGCTGGTGATGGGGGTGCATGCTAAATTCACCTTAGCCTCGGGGCAGAGTCGGGACTCCTGCCAAGACTCAGAGAGAGAGAACCCGCAAAGGATCAGATTCTGTTTCAAAATCCAGTTGAAAATAATTTCTTGACTTGATCTCATCTTTCACCACATTGTGATTGTGCATTCTAATTTTTTGAGGAGGCACTTCACAAGGCATGAGGTTTTTAATTTTCTTTTTCTTCCCCCCCAAAAGCAAACCACAAGATGTATGCGATCCATTTCTTTTAACACTGCAACCAAAATTCAGTGCAAAGTATTCACAAATATGAAGGACGCTCAAGGCCTTAATACTCTTACACATGCATAATATCAACCCAGCTACCACAGACTATAAACTAACACATTTAAAAGTATAAATCACTGAACTCACCTCCAAATATGTTCTTCTCACTCCACCTGCATCAACTGACTGCTGTCTGACTCCTTAGTCTTCCCTGTTTAATAAAAATAACAACAAAGTACGCACATTAAGCCTAAAACCTTCAACATGTGCATTTAATCACAGCTACCCTGCTCTAACTGTTGACCTACAGACCCGTGTCCAAGACCCTGATGTGTTATAATGGTGTCAGTTGGGTAAGGAAGTTACACTGGGCCCCAGTGCACACTATTATAACAGGCCCTGATACTGTACATGCTATTGTGCATTTGTTGTCTTGACACAATGACATACTTGACATTGGAGAACTTTAACACACATATTGCCTAGCATTCATCATTACAATAGAATAGAATACATGAACTTAATTGTCTGTCTGAACAGTGACAGAAATTCTCCTTTGACGCAGCAACACATTTAAAACACATTTAGTTTTTCCAGCCCAGTGGGACTTTGTAGCATCTGCCTGATGGTAGTAACTGGGAGGAATGGTGGAGGGAGTGAGAAGGGTCCTCAGTGATCAGGGTGGCTTTCCTGACCACTGAGCGGTTACACAGCTCACATATCTGACAAAAATATCAGAGAAAGTAAGACATTCATCATTTAATTTAATTGGTTTTAATAGTATATTTATAGATTTTATTGTTCATATAGAAAAAGCATATAATTTTGTTTTAGTTAGCTACTGACTAATTAAAAAAATAAAAATAAAACCACATTTTGGAGGACATATATAGCAAATGGCATCATTTTCAAATTAATAATATTCTTTTTTTTTTTTTTTTTTTTTAATAACTTATCTTTGAACACAGGTATATTCCCAAGTTGGCAATCTGAATCACTTGAGAGGGCCCCCTCTTTCTGCAGGCACTTCCACCCCAGGAGCCCGGCGCAATCACACTGTCTATATTTACGCCCCTGAACAATATTAGGTATGAACAAGTTACTGATTTCATTATAAACCACAGTTAAATTCCCTGTGGTTAGCATTACCGTTTCAGACTTAAATTATCATTAAAACCATGTTTGATAACCGCACTTTGAAATTTTTTTTCCATTTCTCTCTAAATTTTATACAATAAAAAACTGGTCGATGGACTCAATGAGCTCCAAGATCATCAAAGTCATTAATTTAAGCAGCTTCTCCTGAGAGTAAATTGACAGTTAACAACACACATGGTGAATTGTGAAACATAAGCTACGTGAGCATTCCTGTGGAGGCACCTTACAAATGATAAATGATGTTTGGACATAAGCCCTGCAATGTTAATCAGGCAGTCCATCATAAATCTACAATAGCCCTGACCTATCGTACCTTTAATCTGTCCCTGAATCACACCCTCGTATAAGCAAGGAGCAGATAATCGGCTGCGTAACCCTCATATCTTCACTGTATCTGCTTAGGCTAATCTACTGTGTGACAGCTGGCCCCACTGGCTTTATGGGCAGTTTCACCTGAATCCTTTGTCCCTTGACCTGTCTTACCAAAGAACAAAGAAGATTTCTATATAACGTGTGTGTGAGCACATGCAAGTGTACAGTGTCATCAGGGCACCCTGTCGGAAACAGTGCAAGTCAGGCCCATGACTCAGAGAAGGTGTGTTCCAGCGTCCCAGGACCACCCTGCACCCACACACTCAGCACAGCCCACTGAAGCAAGTGAACTCTGTTTGGCTACAACACGCTACTTGTGCAAGAACAAGACCAGTCATCAAAGCAAGTAAATCCGGCTTTACACATCCATTAACATATTAAAGACATGGCTCTGACCTGGCTAAGAAATCAGCTAACAAAGGGCCAAGCTAACCAACCTAGCTAAGTTACCTAGCATGCTAACTAACTAGGAGATTGGCAGCATTCGGCCTAAAGCTGAAAACACAGTGCCCTAACACACACTGGACACATCGCACTGCAGCTTGTCAACAGACAACCACGCAAAGTTATTACTACTTCTACTGAAAGATCTGTTCTTCCTCCACCTCTGCATTAGCTTAAAATCATGTGTGAACAGCCCCTAATTAAACTTGACTTCTCACCTGGAGAGCCGGTCTCCAGAGCTATGACTCACCAGGCAATATCTGGCCATTGTCTTTATAATGATGGGACTGTGTCTCTCCTCATCCATTCTTTATCACACACGAGACATAGCAGCAGCTACAGAGTTCTCCTCGCATCAGTAGTGAGGAGAGGAGTCGAACTGCCACAGGAGCAGAGAAAAAGAGCTGCTACCGGAGCTGGTATGTACAAGCAGAGAGTGAGGTGGGGAAATTTGCTTTTAATTCAGGGGGCGGCAACGCTGGAAAGAGGCCAGTGGTGTGAAGTGCTGCACGGTGGTGCCAATACACATCTAGCTGCCACCGCCGGTGTGGGGTTGTACATTGAAAACAATAGGGGCATATTTTTGGACGTTCCCCGTGAGTGTGTTTTGGCCTTAAACCTGTCAAAACGTGCTGGAGAAATGACAATTTGTAAGGGTTAAGAAATTATTTGTACTTGTAGAAAAAAATTGTCTTTCTATTTCTATACAACCTGTTAGCTTGATTCTAATATCTGATATAAGAATTAGCCTGACTGGATTAGTTTAAAGATATAAATATAAAAAAAAACAAAACATCATGACTTTGATTTTTTTGGTCAACTCAAACAAAACTTTTCTTCGACTAAAAGTTTGAAGGATATAAATTACTAAAATGTCACTAAAACTAATGAGCAGTTTCATCTCAAGAGTAAGGCTTAGACTAAATCTAAAATAGTTGTCAAAATCAACTCTGACATTATAATTAAATAAGACAACTGTGTCAATAAAATGTGAAATTTCCAATAAGCTGGCTAATTAATAAAAATACAGACCTTTATTTTGGTGTTTGGTCAAAACTAGACATCCAGTGGGGAGGAGAGGGGGCCTTCCTGTTAATACAATCCTGGCTACGGCCCTGTTGAGAAGCCTCATTTTTACTTTTGATACTCAACCATATCTTACATTTAAATACAGTTTGAACGCGACACAAAGAGTGTGTGACCATGGGAAGTCTGACAAGCACCCTGCAAAACAAACTGCAAACCACAAACTCTCGCGAGATAAAGCGACGCTTAGAAGTGTCCCCCTGATCAGAGATAACCTCGCCTGTTATAAACGACTCAGGATCTGGTGTAAAGTTAAATGGTGACAGAAACTGTATCCTGCAGCTTTAAACGGTCACACCGTTTCCTGGATGTGAGAAGTTTCCTCATCAGCTGGCACGCTCTCCGTTACACAACTGACCTACTTTACGTGCAGCACAGGGAAAACAAGGGTGTTTCACGGCGGATAGAGGAATTGAAAGAAACGCCCCCTCCGCCCGCGCGAGCTTAATACCTGCACAGGTAAAACACAGACACCTGGAGCAACGGTGTGCACGGTGCTGTCTGCCAATGGCTGAAGCTGTGGAGGTCGGCTCGGTGTCCGCGGGGGCGCGGGCCATGTTTTTCATGCTCTCACCGAACGAGTCATCTTTCCAGAAGGTGGAAGAGGTTCCTCAGTATGTGCAGCAGGTGGGTACAGCCGGGCTCAGTCACTGCCATCATAACTTCTCTGTGTGTGAGACACCTCAGCTGACCTCTGCTGTCATCTAAGGACTGCAGAAACACTCAGAGCCTTATTGGTAATGTAGTGAAACCACATGAGAGAGACAAACAAGTGCTGCATGCAGAAGTTTACATACAAGTACTCAGAGATGCAGAGAAACGTCGATTAATCGATTAGTCAGAGGATTTGTTGCTATTGTTTGTCACATGACAGCAGAACAATGAAAACAAGCAAATGGAATCTATTTGTAAAATAATTATCTGGTATAATTCAGTGTTTTCTGACATTTTATGGATAAAACATTCAATTAATCATGAAAATAATTGGTTGATTAATTGATAAGTTGCAGCTCTAGTCAAAACTTATTTACTAATTGGGAAGAGTTTTCAGTGTCATGGAGTGGTATGAAAATCCCCCAAAATTGGAGACTTTTTTTTTTTTTTTTTTTTTTTTTTTTAATAGATGCCTTGAATCTCCTATAGATAATTTACATTATTGATCAGTCTACAGTTAAGTTGTTGGAATTGAACAGTTTGATTAACATGTCAAAAAAAAGAGAGAAAAGTTTGTAATTTCTTCATGTCCTACCAGCTTTTACAAACCCAAATGTATTCAGTTTACAACAATTTAAAAAAGCTAAACTCAGCCAACCCTCCTTCTGGAGAAGCTGGAGCCAGAGATTATTGACTGAAACAAGACCAGAACGACTGATTATCAAAAATCGTAGCTGGTTACTTATCTGTCAGTGGACTAATCCATTAATCGACAGCCTTAACTGGTACTTTCCAATCAGCTGGAGGTGTGCACACTTCTCTACAGGATAAGAAACTTTTACAACCTCTTTCCCCTTTTCAAATCTATGAAGACAGTGTCTAAATGTTGTTATGTAATCAATCATAAAGCGGAAATAAAGAGCCAAAAAGTTTATGCTTTTTAGTTACAAGATTATTAACCAACCAAAGTCTATCTGTATTTATGTAGGTTTAGATTCATTTATTCACTGTAATTGCGATTAAGATTTATTTTTTGCAAGCGAGACCTCAGAAAAAATAGTCACACACATTTCACAGACAGATTGATTAAAACAATCACATCTCAGAGCTGCAGTTAGTAATTGATTAGTCTATTAGTCAGTTAGTTAAAGGAGAACTGGGTCCATTGTCAAAATTCTTACATATTAATCCTATGGTCTAAGGCAGTTAATATATATTTGTAAACATGAACAAATCCCATCATAAAGAGCAGAGTGCTAAAAGTCAAATTTGTGATGTCACAGGGTATAAAGCCTGGAGCTGCTCCATAGACAGTGATGTTCAAGGTGACACTCACGTACGTTTACATGACACCAGAGACAAATGATTTATTCAGTTAGTTTGACTAAAACCGCACTCATCGTAAATCGAATTTCTCAAAGTCGGACTAACACACCCAGATAATGTGTTTGGGAGTCAAATTCCTCCTGTTTATATACAGTCAATTGGACCCAAACTGGCCCCAGGCTTTGACGTCAAATAGCATTAAATGTGTAACAAAAGAAGAAGCAGATAACAACACGGCGCAGTCTACATCCAGACAGATGCATTTTGGGATGGATGAAGATACACAGTTCATGCTGTGTCTCCTTGTACAGAGCTTTAAAGTTGTCCACCATGGCACCAGTTTGCCACTAGCTAACTGTAACTAACTTGTTGGTCGTTTGTTTGATCTCTGATGTAACAGGTCAACCGAATTAAAGGTCCAATACTAACAAGCTGAAAGGGGGCATATCTCCTCCTATTGTAGCAGAGTCAGTCCCCTCCTGTGCTTGTACACTGGGACAAAGACTGTCTAATTAAATGGCCTGGTTGAGCTGTAACCGTAGTTCCACTTTACTGTGCATGTAAATGTACTGACTGAGAGCACTCACCAGGAGAATGTTGAGTATGAGTATATGGGTACATTTTCTGTTTCAGAACTGACAACACTACAACAGAATAAAGCTTATTTGGGTATAAAAAAGACAACAAACATTAAGTGGCTCCCATTCATTGTTTATGGAGCAGCTTCAGACTTTATACTCTATGACATCACAAGTTTGAGACTTACCTCTCTGGTTTCTGGCTTTAAGAGAGAGCAGCTCATGTTCACAAATATTGAGTGAGCTGTCCTCGAGTGTGGAAATAACATATCTGAATTCTTAATGTAGGTGGTGGTGTTCACCTTTAAACAATGTAAGCAGCAAACTTCTCTGAAAATGTGAATATTCTCTGGTTTATTTACTCCTCTATGACAGTAAACTGTTTATCTTTGGGCTGCAGACAAAACAAGACATTTCAGGGTGTCATCTTGGGCTTTGGGAGACACTGATGAACATTTTTCACTATTTACTGACATTTTATAGACCAAACAACTAAGTGATTGATCAAGAAAATAATCAGTAGATTAATTGACAATGAAAATAATTGTTAGTGGTACCCTAAACACAGTTAAATTAGTACCAGTAGTAATGTGCATACTACCTGAAACCAGTGTTTCTCAGTTCAGAGAAGCTTTTACAAATGATTTAACAAAGATAGACGTTGACTGTCTCAGATCTAACTAGTAGTCAGACTTCAGATAGACATCTAGATGCTAGTAAATAATTTTCCTTCTCTACTTTAATGTTCAGTGTGTAGATTTAGGGGGATTTAGTGGCATCTAGCTGTGAGGATTGCAGGTTGCAATCAGCTGAAACTTCTCCCAGTTACAATTCTTTCAGTTTTCATTGTTCAGGAGGTTTTTACTGGGAGTTGAGTTATCCACAGAGGTATCTTCGTCACCAAAACAAAGACACCAAGTGACTAAAACCGGTAAAACCACTGAAAAGAGCAGTTTTATGTTACAAGTCAGTGTTTCTCCAACGCTGTTTGGCATGTCAGAGATGGTTGGCTAGCCCAGCACCTGCTAATGTGTGCTCACCTTTTTATCTCTAATAACTTAAGATCCAGACGTTCAGAGGGCTTTTACTAGGTGCCAAATGACCCACAGAGGCCTCTTCCTCTCCAGAACAAAGGGACCAGATAATTAAATCTGCTTAAAAGACTAATTAAAGCAATTTTACGTTAAAAAAATTTTTACATTAAAAAGGCTGCTAACTATTTTGGCCAACACAAAAACGTGGATGGCCCTATCTAGAGCCAATGTTTGATTTGTCTGACTGTTACTGTAGAAACATGGAGGTGTAACGTGATCTCTGTAGACGAGGACCCACCAAGCCCCAGGAGGCGCGCTGGGCTCTGAAGCCAATTTTTGTAGTGACCACACAGTAGAATTACAACCGGCACGTGATGCCCTGTGGCCCAAATCTCTCTCCTATGGACTTGCATTGGGAAGGAGACGTCTGTAAAATGTTCGACATGTTCTCTGAGCGTCACAACTCCTGCAAAATGACTCGTTTCACTATCAGGATTCAATCCATTCAGTTCGATAACATTTCAAAAGTCTAGAAGAGCCACAAGGTTAAATCATTTCATCCCCATTCAAATTAGCGGAGGGCTAAACTGGAAGTAGTTGGCTCGGCAGGTGGAGGTCTCAAGTGCGCTTGCTCTGTGGGCCCAGTGATGCAGATGCAGTGCCGATCATCAGGGTGATTTCATACCACGGACCAAGCTTTTTTACTTCATGTGCAACTTAGCAACTTTCATAGGAATGAAGAGTCCCTCGTCCAACACTGTATCCAGTTCTCTTAATGCAGCCATAGGACCTGCTCTGTATGTACAGCCTATTCCAACAGAAACAACGATTCTTATTTTCAGGTGATTGTACACTACAGAAAACATACTTATATTCCATTTCTGCCAATATATCCCCCTAAATCCGACACACTGGACCTTTTAAAGCACAATTTATAAACAGGTTTGGGGTTTGTTCTGCTTCTTACTGTCAGTTTACAGTGTCTCAGTCACCATTTATTGCGGCAAATGTCTGGTGCAGGTTTAACAGCACATGTTTGTTATGAGGCTTTATGAGGCACATCAGGGGAGGAGAGCAATTACCCCCACAGCAGGAGTCCTTATAATCCACTACCAAACGTGATTAAACAAATTTGTTATTACTGCAGGGCTCGATGGTGATAAAAGTTTGCATGGGCGTGTGTGACTCAGCACTGTTTACAGTTTGTGATGTGTCATTAATTATTCTGTTCTCTGATTCCGACGGACGAAATTAATTAGAAAAACAAAACACAATCTTCTAATTTTAGAGTTGTTTGGAATTATGGGTTTGTGGGTAGTTGCCAGGTCTCTCAGCTATTCAGTGATTTGAATGAAAACACAATATTTTTTTGTCAGACAGCAGTGATAAAAGTGTATTGTCAGCCAACATCAGTCATCCGTGACCTTATAAAAAAAAGTCTGTTTGGGGAAAATGCAGACATCTGGTCCACAAATGTCATGTTCCACGCAAGGCCGTATTCAAAATAAAATAAAATTATTAGATACCACAACAAACGGTCCACAGAGGATGCAAGAATGCTGCAGTATAAAGTAGGCTTTCTTTGGTGTGATTTTTAGTTTATTTGTAAAAAGATAAAAAAACACAAGCAAAGACGTTTTCGGTGAATGCAAGATCAAAAAGGGACTGAAATATCTCACTGAAGCAGAGGAAAAATGAAGACAAGTAACATCAAATAAAGGAAAAGAAATGAGGAGACAGGGATAAAACCATAGACAAGCTTTTTCCCCTCGCCTTCTTTTTTGCACAGCATGAGAATCAGCTTGCCCTGGCGAATAATTTCGTCCCGAGCTGTCAAGAACGTGGGGCTGCAGAGGTAAAACTATCTGCTAGACAGGAGAGAAAAAAGGAGGGAAGGTTTTAGACCGGCGTCCAGAATGATAATCTCTCTCTCAGCGGGTTTGGAGGAGGACTGCCTGCGCTGCAAGCCCATTTGTTGGCTGCAGTTCTGCAGTCTGCTGCCAGATGTTGGGAGCGTTGCGTGTGATCGCAGGTCCCTGGTGGTGCTCTCGCCTCTGCTTGTGCACACACACACTCACATCACACACCTGCATGCTAAAGTGGAAGCATTCACATGTGGATATGCACACACATGCATGCACACTCACTCTCACTTACATCCACACACACACACACACACTTCCTCCCTCCCCACCTGCAGATGTGCTCCTCTGCGGTTTCGTCACGCCCTTCATTCTTCGCTCTTGGCAGGGCCATGTGTCCCGGTTACGACTGCAGTCACTTGGTCAATGAGCACCTTCAAGCTAAAGCTAACCAGCAGGTCTGACACGCCGCTGAAGTCGCAGTCGTGACCTGTTTGCTAACCTCGTCCCTCACTAATTTGTTCCATGTTTGACAGACCCATTAAGAGGTTATTACATGTTTCCAGCACAGTTAGAAATAGAGGCCCGTCACTGACTGTTTGCGTAGTACTTACCATTTGTTTTGTCATAACTAGTTACTACATGTAATTTATATTTTGCAACTTTTGGAAACTAGAATTTTGCTATGTAATGTTTTGTTTTCACCATAAAAAAGAAAATCATGTGGCATCTCATGCAAAAATAGCTGCTAATCAAAACAAAAATCATCCTATGCATGTTTGTCTTGATGGATCACAAACTGGTCTGCCATATGGCTGCAACCTGTGTTTGAATTTGGTAACACAGAGAAAATTGCAAGTTATTTTTCATGAAAATGAATTTCCTAATGTAATTCAAATCGGTTAATTTAAGTTACTTGTAATAGCATTAAACAAAGTCAAGACAAATAAAAATCAACTTGTAAAATAACCTTGTGCAGCCAATTTAGTTAGGGGATTATGCTGCCACAAGATGTGCATCAGCCTAGAGGTCAGTCTTTTGAAAAACAAAAGTTTTGATTTCTTCTTTATTGTTGTGCCAACTTCGAAATGGACCTTGCGTCTTTAAACTTCATATTTCCATATATAGAATTGCAAAATGGAATAATTTCGGGAAAGCAGGGTTCAAGAAGTGCAAGTCCTTTTAATTTTCTGCATAGATAATGTTAAGATGACCGACACTTGGAGCACCTCCAAGGTTTAGATGGACATGAATCTTTCCTGGTTGAACCACCAGCACAAAAGGCGAGCACTTGTGTTAGAAAATGTTCTTTGATTACAAAGTCAAAGGGTACAAGCATGTTTACATAAAGAAATAAGGAGAGAAGTTAACTACGATTCCCAGCTTCCAGTTTGGTAAGAAATATCCAAACACCAAACTCACTGTTGCCTCAAACAGCAACTCTGTACAAACCAAAAATATATACAGCAGTTTAAATCTGTTTACTTTCAGATCTTGGTCAGTGTTTGATACATTTTAAAACTACAGTGCATCATTTTATTCCTAATTTCAATAACAAAACAATCAATCAACCAATTTCACATAGTGGCCAAACCTCAGAATTACAACTTCCAGGTCCAACACATGATATCATGGGGCCCAGAAAGTCTTTTTCCCATAGACTGACATTGTGAAAGAGACATCCGTAAATCAGTGGATACATTTTTTGAGCGTCACAACCCCCACAAAAAGACTTGTTCCACTACCAGGATTTGATCCATTTGGTCTGATATCTTTTTAAATCAAGAAGAGCTGCATGATTAAATCACTTTTATCCCCATTCAGGTGCTCGCTCTCTTGTGTGCTCGCTATGTGGACCCAATGATGCAGAAGTACTTTTCTTAATTTTAGTTTGAACTTTTTTTGGCATCATGTTCCACTGAGCAACTTTTGCATGGATTACTGGGCTCCACCTCCAACGTCGTATCCATTTCCCTTCATACATCCATGGTTTCAAATGGGAATTACAATGGAGAAGATATAACACTTCTAAAATTTAACAAGAGCTAAAGGACCTTCTGGAATAAAAGTTGATAATTACCAAACTTGGGCAGCAGAGAAGGACCACTGAGTAAAGTATAAATTGAAAAAATAAATAAAGGTTAGTTAACTTGTACGCCTTTATCTGCAAGTGTGAGTAGCCATAATGACATGTAGCTAACAGGCCAACTAGCTGAAGTTTCGATGACTAATTTATACAATGTAAAATGCCATAGGCTTGTGTTAACAACATTAGCATGTTGTATTTGGGGAAAATGTGTCCAACAAAATACAAGTGTTTTTCTGTGAATCCTGAGAGTTATAGTGAAGCTGATTTGTGCACTTGTAATTGAAATGAATTATTCTTGAAAGGCAGCTAGCTTGTACGCTTTACCTGCTCGCCTAAGTAGCCATAATGACATGTAGCTGACAGGCTAACTAGCTTAACGTTAGATGACTTATTTATACAATGTAAAATGCTATAGGCTTGTAGGAAAATGTGGCCAACAAAAGACAAGTGTTTTGTCTGTGAATCCAGCGAGTTATAGTGAAGCCAATTTGTGTACTTATAATTGAAATTGTCGCTTTGAAACCATGTACAATCCGTGTTTTGTGTGTGTTTCAAATTTCCAAACTTTAACAAGCAGCATGCAGAGCTAATAAACCTTCTGGAATGAAAAAATTGGTAATTAGAAAACTTGGGCAGCAGAGAAGGGCCTGTGAGTAAAATATGAATTGAAGAAACAAATTACAATCAAATATTTTCCTCTTAGACCTTACTATTCTCTTTTCCAGCTAGCCTGAGTAGCCATAATGACGTGTAGCTAACAAGCTAACTACCTTAAGTTTAGATGACTAATTTATACAATGTAAAATGCCATAGTCTCGTGCTAATTACATTAGCATGTTGTATTTGTGGGGAGAATGTGTCCAACAAAAGAAGAGTGACCTCTGATTAAAATATCAATTGAAAAAATAAATAACAATCAGTTAATTTTGTCTTAATCCTAATTATTCTTTAAAGGTCAGCTAGCTTGTACGCTATACCAGCTAGCCTGAGTAGCCACAATGACATGTAGCTAACAAGCTAACTAGATGACTTTGTTTTGTTGTATCTTATCCGCAAACACAAAGACATTGAGGTTTTACAGCACAACATCTCTGTATCCTTGTTTTATTGTGCTTGGCTCCCACCTGACACCACTCAAAATGAAAAAATATGTGGTTTGTTAGCACTGATGTTTAAATCAACTAATGAGATCATTTCTTCCTCCAGTGCAGCTCTGCTCAGACAAATGTTTGTGATGTCCCGCCTGCCAATACATTGTGGCTTTAGCTTCAGTCTGGTACAGTGAAACAAACATCATGGATCACAAGACATGAAAGTCCTGCAAGCTTTTAGCTCATCTGCCAAGACAAATACTCAAGCTCAACACAACTGCTAAAGGCAACAGTGTACTTGAAACCATCTTGTTTTCACAGTTTGTAACCGTAACAGTGCTGAATCAGGATTTCGTGTGTGTGTGTGTGTGTGTGTGTGTGCAGGCCACTCCTTTCTTTGTAGGGCTGATGGTGCTGGAGCTGGTGGTGGGCCTGCTGAAGACAGGAGCCCCAGTGGTCACCATCAGCGATGGACTCACCTCCGTATCTTGTGGAATGATCTCCAGACTTCCAATGTGAGTGTTCAGGCAGCTCATGGTCAGGTCACTGTATATTATAATAAGATAGCAGTGCTGTTAGGGCTACTTGGTTTGATTTTTATAGGGATGCACTATATTGGATTTTTTCCCAAAACCGGATATGCCGATATGTAACAACTAATTTGACCGATAACCGATACCAATATTGATATAGCCACTTTTTTCCCTACCAAATTTAGTCATCAAGTCTCTCTTGTAGCGGAATTTTGCATGCATGCTCTTATCATGATGGACCACCAGCTAATGGAGACATGAAATACAATACTTTCTAATGTACGTAATATATATTCATTGTGAAAATTAAGAAAAAGCATGTCACTAATTCAAATATTTCATTTTAAAGCTGATTTCTTGACTACTTTATCATGCGTCCCTAATTTTTATCTTATTTTTCAGACATTGTTATCATTATCATAGCTGCCTTTCCTGTTTAGAATGAAAAATGTGGCGCCCAAGGAGTCGTGTAGATTAGAAAAGGGTTTTATTTTTGGGTTGCTGTAACTTTAAATGTTGCCATTTAAAAGTCCATTACCTTGTCCAAAGTGAGGTGGGCAACAGGAAGTGGCACAAGGTGTAGGTCCAGAGAGTTGGCCTACTGCATGCAGAAAACAAGGTGGCGAAGTGCGGCCTGCGGTGCTCTGCCATGCAAAAGCTATGGATCAGTGTGCTGGCAAATTTTGGCCAGAGAATACCCACAGCTAATCTGTAAACAGAGTTCTGAAACTCCTGTGACACTTTGACCTATGTTACAAAAAAAATTCCTCCTGCCCAAAACACATGAGCTCGCCCTCTGGCTGCAGAAAAATATGATAATTGTGGTGAGCTGCACTTTGCTGCTGCTTGGTGTGTTTTCAGCGTCAGTGTGGACTGTAGATGGACGACGTGTCTCCACTTTTTCCCATTGTACAAAAATGAAGCCAAAGTTTCCCGGTTATGCCCGCTGCCGTCTTGCGCTGGTGATGCCATTTGAAGCCAGAGTCTGTGTAGTAAGGGTCTCCACTGTATCAAGTTCCCGCCCATACATGTCTGACCAAGACTGCCGCACATAGCTGTCAATCGTAATGCCACACCCCTTTTACTACGAACGAAGAAACATGCGTCAGCGTGATAAGAAATACCCCAAATGACAGAAACCATCTTTGGGAAAAGCTGTTTTGCATGTATTTGGATTTTTTAGTTTGGCCCATGTCCCGTCCCGTCCAGTCTGTGGAGTAAAGACCTGTGAAAGAAAGAGACTGTAAAGCACAATAGTCCTTGTCGTAAAGATGTAAATACAACATTGTCTATCAGAAAGTATCAGGTATCTCTAAAGAAAATGCCCTTTCAGTAGTGTACGTGCTTTGACAATACAAAGATGTTCTGACAAGTTACACAAATGAACTGACATGTGAAACTGAAACATGAACTGCATATTTTACTCACGTGCACACTGGACTGACACAGAGCTGTGACTGCCCCTCCCTCAGGCTGTTTATGAGAGGCTGTGAGCTGACTGCTTACATGTACGTGTGGGACCGGTATCGCCTGATGGAGCTGCCGTGGGACTCCGCCTGGACCTGGTGGCTCACCTTTCTGGGCGTGGACTTCTGCTACTATTGGGTCCACCGCTGTGCTCACGGTACCAGCTCAAGACACTCACACTGATGTACACAGCCCACATAGAAGGACATGGGTATTCACAGCTACTAGTTTATTCACATTTCTGTGGTAGTTTCTGCTGTGTGGTTTCTGCTCTTTCAGCTCCGTATGAGATATTTGTGTTGTTGTGAGAGTTCAGAGGAGAATGTTCAAGTGAAACTGGTCCTAAATCATTTGAGTGAGGGGGCTTTCACATTATGAATCCAGGCCCTGCTTCGAGTACACTTGACCCTAAAGTCTAGTTTATTTGATTAATGTGTACTGTACTTGGGTACGGTATGCCCATCCGTGGCCGAGTCCATTTGAAAAGGTGGTCTCAAGTACAGTTAATGGCTACTCTGTTACGCTATGCATCAGGTGTGAACACCAACTGTACAAAACACGGAAGTGGACTGCTGTTTAACACGCGGAGTACTGACCAGTTATGAAACAGCCTCAACATTTCCATTTCACAGCGTAGTACGGAATAATATTACTAGGATGAAATTGGAAAAAAATTGGGAGAGAAGGGCAATTATACCTGGGGATGATACAATTGTTCTTAATATGAAAACACCCTAAGAAATCACTCACCTTTCTGTAGGCTTAGGCTACGTCCACAGAAATATGTTTTCGTTTTAAAATGCATTACTATTGCCACATTTACACCTAGCATCCACACTACTCTGGTATGTTGGAATCCCTCAAACAGAGACCTCTGAAAATACGGTTTACCCTTTTTAGTTTGAAAACTCTGGGGTTGTGTCTTGGTATGGACGGGCAGAAACAGGGACTTTGGAAACGCTGATGCAGACAACCACGTTTGCTTCCTGATTGGGTCTTATTAGTCAAGACATGTCAAGCCAAAACATTTTAGCTAGGTGTACATACCTTTTGTGATTTTATCCCTCTTATGTGGGTACTCCTTTCCCATTGCCATGGCTTTCTCCGGCAATGAATAATTCTCGCTGTATTACTCTGATAGATTGCCGTAATTGCTGCAACAATGCCAAATCTGTTTTCCACCACCTTGACCGCCTTATTCTCAGAGACAGTTCCACCTCATCATTGGTCTTAGCAAAGAAATTTCTGGGGCAAGTCTGGCTCAGGAGGTAAAGCAGGTCATCCCTTAGTGGGAAGATCGACCAGCTCCTCTATACACATTTTGAACTATCATTGGGCAAGATATCAAAGTGTAGTAGTGTTAAAGCACTTTGAGTGCTTGGAAGACTAGAAAGGCACTATGCTATTGCAGGTCCAATTACCATTTACTTTTCGCCATCTCTGTAATATTTTCTGTTATTAAGCCACCAACCACAGAGTAGACAATCTGCTTTCTGTTTACAGAGACACACACAGTCCCAGTTTAGTAAATGGTCATGTGATATGCGTTTTCAGATGTTACGCTTGTGTATGGGGATCATTTTTGTTTTAAAAGACCATTTTAAAATGAGTGAATGTGGCTTTGAAAAGGTCGCTGTGGCAACTTTGATTTTGTTCCTTCATTGAGCATGGTTGCTGTGGTCAGCTTGGATTTATTGTGTTTACTATGGACTTGAAAAGTGACCACTTTTCCTGGTGGAAAAGTAGTAAAAAGTCAGTAGGAACTTTCCAAACGCATAATCCTCTTCACGATTGATCATACAAAAGCTCAATTTTTTCAAACTATTATTATTTTTTGCACAATAAAAAGCTAAATAAGCATCTCATTCATGCTTCAGCAATGCACTTTATATGTTTTTACACACTTGACTTGTAACAATGATGGTGTTGTTTATGTGTTCTCAGTGATAAGTATATTGAATGTTGGATTCTTTTGCCAGTATAATTCCACTACCTTCCAACTCCCAACCAACAATCCCTCCCCTTCCTCTTTCATGTGTCACTCAGATAATACTAACAAAAAACTACAAAGCCAGCTGATGATAAATGGTTGTAAAATGTTGATTTAGTTGCCATCCCTGCAGGGAGGAGCTCACAAGATAGCACACACATCATGCTGTCCTGGACGTTGTGAAGGAAGCAATTATTTTTGAGTTACATGCAGCTGGTTTGGAGCTGTGCAGATGTGAGAGGCCTTGGTCTCCGGAGAGCTGTGGTCTTAACCCGGAGCTCTCACAGCAACAAGCTGTATATAGTCACGGCTCTAAAGCAGCGACGTCCTGCAGCATCACTATAAAAGCAGAAATAAAAAATATGTACCAGATACAGTGTTTCTACAGTCATAGCTCGGCATCTTTTAAAATCGACTCTTCCTGTGTGTGTTGGCTCAACTGATACATGTGCCAGATGCTCAGCTGCCACACAGTACACCGGAACAGAGGTATTTATTTGTGGCCTGCACCAAAGTTTATTTGTGTTGTGGCACATCAAGCTGCCCACTGTCTAGTCCACAATGTTTTGGCTCAAAGTCTAGAACTGGTTAAACAGAAGCAATGCTTTTAAACTGTCTCGCCAAGAACGGCCTGACTTGATTGACTCTATAGTACCACTCTGCTTCTAACATGCACTGGAGGCATTTTTATCTCCCACCACCTTGGCACAGGGCATATTGGACATTATTATTGTGATGATGATGTAGGCCTATCATGATAAATTGTTATTGACTAATTGTACAATATATGGACATCACCGCTATCATTTTGCTGACCTTGGTTTTGCCCATTTTGTTTACATGATAAGGTTACCAACATTTCAGCCAACATGATAAACAACAGGGTTTTCCTGACCTTTATATGACTTGAGCGCAGCAATTCTCCCTTTTTTTTAATTCTCCAGAGAAAGAAAGCACTTACAAGATGACACGATGTAGCTTACCCATAGCCTGTAGCCACACTTCTGCAGTGGAAGTAGCACAGTCCTGATGGTTGTTAGCTTGCCAACCCCTGGTAACATGCCAAAAAGTCCGTCATGGAGGTAACTGTGGTGTTCCTGGAGCTTTGCTAAGTTTGTCTGTTAGTTGCGAAAGAGATCACTTGGTTTTGTTTTTGTCAGGCAAATTTAGTATTAAGTCTTAAACGGAGTAATTACTACTGTAGGAACTAGCCTTGGAGAAAGCTTACGATCGCGTCCCACAGGGAGTCTTGTTGGGGGGTACTGTTGGAAAACGGAGTACTGAGGTTGTTGCTACGAGCCATCCAGTCCTTGTAACCAAAGTGAGAGCTGTGTCCGCATACTTGGTACAAAGTTAAACACATTCTTAGAGGGCGTTGGCCTCCGCCAGGGTTGTCCCTTGTCTCCGATTCTGTTTGTGATATTCATGGACTGGATCTCAAGGCGCAGCCGGGGGAAGGAAGGGGTCTGGTAAAAGGTCCTCAGAATTGCATCTCTGCTTTTTGCAGATGATGTGGTTCTGTTGGCTTCGTCACACTGTGACCTTCAGCATGCACTGGGGTGGTTGTAGCCGACTGTGAAGCGGTCGGGATGAGACATGACATGAGTTTCCTCCAAAGGGTGGCTGGGACCAACCTTAGACATAGGGTAAGGAGTTCTGACATCTGGAGGGAGCTCAGAGTAGAGCCGCTGCTCTTTCAAGTCGAAAGGGGTGAGTTGAGGTGGTTCGGGCATCTGATCAGGATCCTCCTGGGCGCCTCCCATTAGTGGTGTTCTGGGCACGTCCCACTGGTAGAAGGCCTCTGGGCAGAAACAGAATATGCTGGAGGGATTACATATCTCATCTGGCCTGGGAACGCCTTGGGGTCCCCCAGGAGGAGGTGGAAAGTGTTGCTTGGGAGATGGGCGTCTGGAGTATTTTGCTCAGCCTGCTGCCCCTGTGACCCGGCTTCAGATAAGCGGTTGAAAATGGATGGATGGATGTAGCAAGTTATTTTTCTCAAAACCTTGTGTAAACTGTGTTTCAGACATTTTCACATTCATAAATCCCGTTTTCATTGGGGCTTTTATATGTGTGTACTGTAAAGACAAAGACCAAGGACAGTTAAAGTATCACTGTGGCAGCGGTGCATTGGCATGACAAATCAATACTTGAAGCTGTGTGCCCTTAAAACCAAATTAAATCCAAAGTCTGCCTGAAACAGAAAGTAAACTCAGTATGAACTTTCCAGGGACTGGATTAGAAAAAAAAACAGTTATTCAACAAGTTGTGTAATAAGCCTTTGTAGCTGCGCGGGTATTTCTGCATGCCCATGTTTTACATCGTGTTGATTGATTTAACAAAGCATAAAACCAAACCAATACCTCAGACAGAAAAAAACTTTGCATGTTACCAAGGCAGAAAACTAGGTTGGATCAGTTTTTCTTAGGTAACCTTTAGTGTTTGAACCAAAATGATTATTTAAACAAAGCTCCGGACTCATGTTTTGATAAGCAAGGAACCCAGGTGAAAGCTCAGGCAAACATCCTATAATAAACTTTAAGCATATTGTAATTGAAGTGGTCTGAGAGAATACTAGACTGCTGCACCTTTCTTTGTTCTGTTTTCAGGCTTTAGAAAACGTAGGCCACGAGAGGACACTTTGGTCAGTCACTGGTCATTTCAGAGATGTCCCTATCGGCTGTTCTACAAATGCAGATGCAAGTGCACGTCTCTTCAGTGAAAACTTGAATGTCAGAGAAGCCTTCAGAGATGGAGAGAAAATCTTAGTAGTTTAGCCTTCTACTAAACAGAATCACAGTGTGTCTTTCACATCACTCCCCGCCGCTAGAGACCACCTCGCCGGCAGGAGAGCGGGCAACAGGTCTAGAGAAGGAACCCCAGTCCGCTGCTGCAACAACCTGAATCCAGCCAGTGCAAACCCTAGCTCCAGGGGATCGGCCAACCCTGACTCCCCATCTGATCCGCAAACTTTCTGTTACTGCCGTTACACAGATAAGACCTGGTTCTGCCTCTGGCCACCAGCCCTGCCCCACCTGCCAGTCCACAGTGGCGGGGAGTGAGGTGGAGGGAGTGTGAGATGGCTAGCTAACTAATTCTTGTCTCATTTGTGGTCTTATAAACAGATACAGAAAGGGCGGGGCAAGGAAGCGCTGAGTGTATAAGCT